CTTAGGCACATTAAAGTTTGAAAAGCACAAGGCTGGACTTGATTTCTTCATAGTACATGTCCTGGAATGCCACTAAAGCAATCTTCTAAAAACATAAATGTGATTCTTTTTCATTGCTATGCTTTAATTTCTTCAATTTCTTTCCTATTTTCAGTTCTTCAAAAAACCTAATGAGAGGCAGTATAGTGTGATGGGGTCCTTGATAGTTTCCAGGACAGCCTCCATCATTTACTGGCTGTCTCACTTTAGGCAAGTTGTTTCTCTAAGTGATAGATTCCTATTTGTTGAATGGAGATAATAACTCATAGAGTTGTGAAAATTCTGAGATAATTCATACACAGCTTTGAACACAGTGTCTGGCACACTATGAACAACGCTCCACATGCACTGCTGTAGATATTTCATGATTCTTACTTTCCCTGCCTTGGATGACCTCTTCTCAAGGTGATCTCCCACTAGCCATTTGGCATCAAACCTAGTGAACTGAACTCTTCATCTTGCAAGCATCATCTGCTAGATCAAGTCTTTCCCCAACATCTTCAGCCAGAGATAGGTATTTTCCTTCTCTTCTTCTCTATTTTTTGCTCATATGGATCAAGCTGCTGTGAAAGTATGTGCTATTAAAAGTGTTTGCATACATGTCTTTATCACTTGACTATGAGTTTCTAGAATGAAGAGCTAATTTGATCCTCTAACATTTATCAGAGTATCCAGAAAAATGTGGACCTAAAAATGGTTACTGAAAACCACAACAGTACCAGAAGAAAATTTAAGTAAATTTTAAAAAATAATACTTAGAGTAAATAAAGACTCTATAGGTATACCACAAAAATCAGAAATTACTGTAAAAATTGATAAATTTGATTATTTAAAAAATTCTATATGGTATATGGCAAAACAATTGTGAACAAAGTTAATATTAAATTGGAAAAATATATAACATATATGACTAATGATTCATATCCTTAATAAAGAAACACTTGCAAATCAAAAAAAAAAAAAAAAAAAGAAAAGGAGAAAAGCCCCAGTAGAAAAATGGGGGGAAACTAGGCTATTCACACAAAAAGAAATACAAATGGTCAATAAGTATACGAAAAGATATTCAGCACTACTAGTAATAAATGAAAACAACAATAAAATGTTTTTACCTAAGAGATTCGCAGGGGTTAAAAATATTGATAATAAGTAACTCGGGTAGTTGTGTAAACTAAGGGTAATTTGGCCATGGTTTGCACAATTTGAAACATGTCTACCCTTTAGCACAGCAAATTTCTTTCAAAGAATTTATTTCGATCAAAAATTTGATCAACTGAACACACACGCACACTTACATGCATAAGAAAACAGTCACTGCATTTTGGGAACAGGTTAATTAAAAATAGCCACTATGATGTCATACAGTTGTGATGTTTAATGAATGATAAGTGAGAGAGCCTGGTATAAAATGTATTTAAAAATATGGAACTCTAGGTATATATATGCATGGGGAAACATCTGGAAGGGTACACACCAAAAAGTTAACAGTGGTCATCTATGCAAAAAGTTAACAGTGACTTATGGGAATTAATTTTCACTTTTTTTTTTTTTTGGCCTTTCTTTATTCTCTGTAATTTATATATGAATAGGAAATACAAACAGCAAAGTTTGTCAGCCCCCCTCCCTCCCTTTCAGAAGTTATTCACCTTGATTACCCTGTGATAACTTTATCTTAGAGAAGAGACATGTTAATGCTACACTCTCACAACTTCTCATGACCTTGTGGAAGGTGAGAAAGAAAATCCCAGGATAGAAATAATTCCTCAAGCTTTTTATTTTACTTGTTTCTTAAAGCCTTGGCTTCATATTGACAGTTAATACGAGAGAAGGGGACCTCTAAGGAAATGGAAAAAAAAGTTTAAGGATGGCTGCACTTTTGTTAAAGGTGGTGAGGTCAATCTGATGATGACATTGGTCTCCCCATTGATTCTGGGGTTTATCAGACTGATCTAGCTGGACAGGCAAGTGTCCCCTTCTCCCTCTCTGCTTTACAGCACAGTCAATAGAAAAGGACAACCTTCCCTGAGAGAAGTGCCCTCTTCTCTTTTTCAAGGGTAAAAGCAGTATCTTCAGTCTTCAATCTTTTCAGTCTGAAAAGATTTATCATGCTAACTGATGGAGAAATGAAATTCCTTACCTGATTTAAACAAATAAATCATTGCATTAATCTGTTAGTCATTTAAGCACAGGAAGACCAGTGAAAATTCTAAGTATCTCTGTGCTTAATGAAAGCAATAAAATTATGAGATAATTCTTGGATGACAAAAGTAATTTTTACCAGATAACACTTGGTTTGTGTCGCCTTAACTTCTAGCACAATAACTAGATCGTAAGAAAAGTTCCACAAATATCTCTTGAACTGACAAGAGTACATGAGTTTATTACTTACGTAATTTGAAAAAGATAAAGTCAAAGGGAGAAGTTATGACAGTGGTACTAGTAGGAATAAAGCAGGATGCTAACTATTTTAATAAAAACAGGTAACTTGAAAAAAAAAAAGGAACATTTTGAGTTTTTACTTAGAAGTCTGATCCTCAATTATATTCACTAATGGATCCTTGAAAAGAGGGCAAGTCACAAATAATAGTGATCTAATCTCACATGAAAATGCTATTTGTCCTGCTAGTCATACAGTGTAAATAAAACAAAATGGTATCAGAGCTGATATCTGAAATATTTAACAACCAGTAGGACACAGGCAGTTCTAATCAGAATAGACACCCAACAACATATCAAAACACAGACACTGAATTCCAGCCCTGCACAGTGTTTATCTACCTCTTTGACATGTACTCTAGTAAAAAACATCCCCTACAAATACATATACTTTATTTATTACATCCCATTTATGACTGGTGCATTTCAGAACCATTTAAAACTCTTTGCAGCACACTGCTGACAGATACAAATAATTTATACAGCTAACTAGAAGAGATTCTCTTAATGGCTGGATATTTTCTGGCTGAATACTAGAAATCTGTGTCTGAATCCTGATTCTTGTTGTGGTGATATTCCTCATTTACCTTGAGTGTTAAGAGACAGCATAGGGCCGGCCCCGTGGCTTAGCGGTTAAGTGCGCGCGTTCCGCTACTGGCGGCCCGGGTTCGGATCCCGGGCGCGCACCGACGCACCGCTTCTCCGGCCATGCTGAGGCTGCGTCCCACACACAGCAACTAGAAGGATGTGCAGCTATGACACACAACTATCTACTGGGGCTTTGGGGGGAAAAAGGAGGAGGATTGGCAATAGATGCTAGCTCAGAGCCGGTCTTCCTCAGCAAAAAGAGGAGGATTAGCACGGATGTTAGCTCAGGGCTGATCTTCCCCACAAAAAAAAAAAAGAAAAACAGAGACAGCATAGCGTTGTTTCATTAGTGTCTGATCTTGGCCAGGTGACAACCCTTTTGGTAGGTGGTTTGACCATTTTTACAAGGAAGCAGTTAACTTAGATGGAAAAATGACAGAACAGCTTCATCTTGCTTTCGTCTCTGATGACAGTGGCTAGACTAGGTGCTGAGTAAAGCATGTAACGAGGATAACGAGGCTGTAGTCAGGTTCAGTGGCAAAGAGTATCCTGATTCATTAGTGATGTCTGCCGTGCTCAAAGAATTGGAAATACTAGTAGTACATAATATGCCACCCAGTTGCCATTCCTGCCTCAATTATCTCTAAAGTTCCTTCACGCTCTAAAATTCTATTTTTCTCTTAAATGTTGTAACTTGAAATGGTTATTTCCCTTTCCAAAGTACATAATTTATAACTAAGGCATATTGTAGCTAACGACGGAAACTGGCTCACTGCAAAAGCATCACATCATTGTATATACAGCTCTCGAATACTCTTACTCAGTTAAAGAATTTCACGGCGCATCACAAATCGCTTTGTAAACTTGAGGATGCATCACTGGGTGTTGTTCTTGTTGGAGAAACCATATAGCCTATGATTTATGTCAGTGGACACCATTAGCATTTCGATGTGGTAGGCCTTCCCCTACACTTAGAAGCAGATTAAAATCGGATGTGGTCATTTCGGACATTTTAAAAAGCAATCTCCAATAGTTTGAATGCTCATATATGTTACGAAACAGTTAAATAAAAGGAAAATTTACAACTTCTATTAGCAGCTTCCATCATTTGGGTTACTATTAAACGAAAACATGATCAATACTACATCAGAAAAGCTGAAAAATCCACATATATGAACAAGTATATAATCCATTCATTGTTTTATGGATGCACAGTTCTCTGGAGAGTGTTCCTGAGTGCAAGATGATGGTCCTGAGTGATGAGTTTTACATTTAGATAGCTGAGTTAGCTGAAAGACATGTAATATCACCAGCAGCAGAGAGCTCCCTATTGACTATGCACTGAAGGAGGTTCCTGTATAGTGTTCATTCCTGCAAGTGAATGAATTATTCTACACAGACATGTCATAGAGTTACCCATGTCTCACGAGGGACAAGTGAAGCACAAAAGTACACTATGGTCTGTGTCCAAGACTATGTCTCATTCCTTTTTTCTTTTTTGGTGAGGAAGATTGGCCCTGAGCTAACATCCATTGTCCATCTTCCTCTTTTTGCTGAGGACGATTAGCCCTGAGCTAACATCTGTGCCCATCTTCGTCTATTTTGTATTTGGGACACCACCACAGCATGGCTTGATGAGCGATGCTTAGGTCCGCGCCTGGGATCCAAACCTGCGAATCCCAGGCCACAGCAGCGGAGCAAACGAACTTAAATACTACACCCCCTGTGCCATTCTTTAGGAAAATGCAGCTTCTCTATTTATCTAAATTTGCTGAAAATTACTTAAAATACTCTGTGATTTATAACGTATTATTACAACCCCTCCCCCAGAAAATATAACTCATAATATACTTCTTGACCAAATAAATAGATGAAACCAACAAGACAACAACATAACATCCTAACTTACAGACAAAATAATTCTGAAAACTTGTTCTTACCTATAAAATATGAGAGGAGTATTGCCAGGAGCACTGAGACTCCTACAGCACACAGGGCAGTACATTTCCAGCTACAGTACTTTGAAGACTTCTTGAATTTAAAAGCACTTCTTGATAGGGTGTTTCTAGGTAGTGGCCGAGTAGGCGGCGAATAAACAGAGCCAGATGCCATTGTGTATCCTGGGGTTGCAGTACTGAACAGTGGCGTCGTCCCTGTTCCTGTTTTGAATAGGAAATGCCTGTGGAACAGGAGAATATGATTATAAGATGCAAATATGTTAAAATGTGAGAGACAGAGACAGCTATGCATTAGCTCTCCTCTCTTTCTGTCTCCCTCCTTTACCTCATATAATTAAAAAACAATTAGAAATTAAGGAAATATTTTAATGAAAAAAACCCAACTCATAAAAATGACTCTGATGAAAAAGGTTGATTTGTAACGTCTATAGCAGTATTTACGCACACGAAGGATTACTGTCCCTTCAAGTAGATATCTTGAGAGACTATAAAGTTACTCTAATCATACCATTTCTGGCACAAAACCATTCTGGAACTTTCCTTCATGAAATGCCTCAAGAACATCTTCACATTCCACTTAATAAAATGAATCCTGGTACTTTATAGCTACATGTGAACTTATTGCTATGTGAGAATACGTTCTCATATAAACACAAGTATGCATGACCACGTTGATGGTCTGCAGACTGATTTATCTTCTGGATGCCCGTGGAAACATTCTAATCCTAGCCTGCTCCCCCATTAATGAGTACCATCAAGCTTGGCCACAGGCAGTTGGTCAGTTCTCAAGGGATGCAAACTAATTTTATTTCTAGCTTCTGTCAAACATAACCAGGAAGGCAAATCTGCTGGAGGGGAGAGAAAGGAAGGAATCACAGCACACTTTCTAAAACCAACCTCAATAAATGAAAGGGTCAGTGAAGCAGGGTTTAGATCAAATATAGAAAGATTCCCTAACAACTGAGCCGTACAACAGGGGAGCAAGCTGCCTCTAAAAGTTGTATGCTGCCTTACTTCAAAAATTTTTAAACAGAAATTCAATGATCAGATGACAAGAGTGCTGTATAAGGAAGTTTTAGGAAAGATGGCTAATTTTAAGATTCCTATTAACAATAAAAGTCCCCCAGTTTTTAAAAAAGTGCCATGTTTTTCATGGTTTACATTTCACACTATGCTGGTAATTTATAGTGTATTCAGCATGTGTCTTAACATGTATGATTATGTTTCCTAATAACATGTTCAATGAAGTCAACAGAAGGTGCTCCCTCTACCATACTCATGAGGTTGTAGGTATTCTAGAATATTCCACCATAGTACAGCACAGTCTTTACACAAGATGATTTTAGATGGCACACAGCTGAATGTTTTGTTGTTTGTGTGTGTGTGTGTGTGTGTGTGTGTGTGTGAGAGGAAGATCAGCCCTGAGCTAACATCTGCCAATCCTCCTCTTTTTGCTGAGGAAGACTGGCCCTGGGCTAACATCCGTGCCCATCTTCCTCCACTTTATATGGGATGCCACCACAGCATGGCCTGACAAGCGGTGCGTCGGTGCGCGCCGGGGGTGCCAGCAGCAGAGCGCGTGCACTTAACTGCTACGCCACGGGGCCAGCCCCTGAATATTTTTAATTTTAATACTGAGGTACTTATTTTAATGTGCATTAGAAAACAGATTAATATATCAAATAAGTTAAAGGGTTAAAAGGACAGAACTTGAAAACTAGATTGCCGAGGTTGAGATCCTGCTCTATTACTTACTAGGTATGTGTCCTTGGGCAAGTTCCTTAACTTCTCTCTGTGTTTTGGTTTCTTAACTTGTAAAATGGGGACAGTAATACTATTTACCTCTTAGAGGTTGTTAGGACTCTTAAATGAGTTAATATTTACTATAAAGTACTTGGAATATAGTAAGCACAACGTAAGTATTTGACAAATAAAAGAGGAATCCAACTCATACCTAACCAGGTATGTAAGTTACAAAGAGTCCGTTTCCAGAGAATTACTAAGTGAATGATAATGTAGCTGGTGTACAGACACGGCAAAGTCATGAAAGTTGGCCTAACACAGGTATAGTGGAAGGAATTCAGGATTAGAAATAAGATCTCAGGTTAAGTCCCTGGTCTATCATTTCCCAGTTACGTGATCCTAGTAAGCCTCTGGTTTTTGTTTTTTTTGTTTTTTCATCTGTAAAACGGAGCTAATGATTCACTTATCTCACAGAGTTTTAAATCAATTAAAGTATCTAAAAATGCTTTGTCAACCACGAAATTAGAACAGATGCAAACAGTAAGTTACTACTTCTATAAATTATACTAGCAACTAATTGTGAATCCATTTTTCCCCTTGGAACTACTTTATAAAGCAAATTTAAAAGTTTATAGTCTGAATTAAGTGGTACGTTGGAAGCAGCATTTTTAGCACCTACTACCATATTCATATTCAGCATGGTTATTAAGAAAGTAGACCATCTTATCTTACACCATATATAAAAATTAACTCAAAATGGATTGAAGACTTGAATGTAAGACCTGAAACCATAAAAATTCTAGAAGAAAACATAGGCAGTACACTCTTTGACATCAATCTTAGCAGCATCTTTTTGAAAAACATGTCTCACTAGGCAAGGGAAACAAAAGAAAAAATAAACAAATGGGACCACATCAAACTAAAAAGCTTCTGCACATCAAAGGAAACCATCAACAAAACGAAAAGACAACCTAACAATTGGGAGAAGATGGTTGCAAATCACATATCTGATAAAGGGTTAATATCCAAAATATATAAAGAACTCATACAACTCAACAACAAAAAAATACAAATAACTCAATTAAAAAATGGGCAAAGGATGTGAACAGACATTTTTCCAAAGGAGATACACAGATGGCCAACAGGCACATGAAAAGATGTTCAACATCACTAATTATTAGGGAAATGCAAATCAAAACTACAATGAGATATCACCTCACACCTGTCAGAATGGCTATAATTAACAAGACAAGAAATAACAAGTGTTGGAGAGGATGTGGAGAGAAGGAAACTCTCATACACTGCTGGTGGGAGTGCAAACTGGTGCAGCCACTAGGGAAAACAGCATAGAGATTACTCAAAAAATTATGAATAGAACTATCATATGATCCAGCTATTCCACTCCAGGGTATTTATCTAAAGAACAGGAAAACACTAAGTAGAAAATATATTTGCACCCCTATGTTCACTGCAGCATTATTCGTAACAGCCAAGACTTGGAAAGAACCTAAGTGCCCATCAATGGACGAATAAATAAAGAAGATGCGGTATATATATACACAATGGAATACTACTCAGCCATAAAAGGATGAAATCTTGCCATTTGTGACAACATGGATGGACCTTGAGGATGTTAGGCTAAGCAAAATAAGTCACATGGAGAAAGTCAAATACCATATGATTTCACTCAGAAGTGGAGGATAACAACAACAACAAACACACACATAGACACAGAGACTAGATTAGTGGTTACCAGAGGGGAAGAGGGAAAGGAGGAGGGCGAAAGGGGTGATAGGGTACATGTGTGTGATGACGGATGGTAATTAGTCTTTGGGTGGTGAACACAATGTAGTCTACACCACAGAAATCAAAATATAATGATGTACACCTGAAATTTATATAATGTTATAAACCAATGCTGCCTCAAAAAAACAAAAAAAATAGAACTAATAAAGCAATAGATTCTAATAGGATATAGAACCTCAGGTGCCACTGATTGAAACTGATGTTTATCACATAATCTAGCTTTACTCAGTTTATTTATGCACACCGCACTGACTGTAGAACAAAATTATAATGAAATATATTTGCGTTTATAACCTAAGGCTACTGCAGGTAGCCTAGAATTTCTGGAGCATATCCAATTCAATATAATTGCATTCTTTTTAACAAATTAAATGCCACTTAATTTGTATACCTTTGTAAAACTTTCATATAATAAACTTACAATTCAGAAAAAAAAAGGAAAGAAAAAAAAAAAGAATGTGGGCCCAGACTGTCTGGGTTCAAATCCAGGCTTCACCTATAATTAGCTGGATGATGTTAGGTAAAATGCTCAAATTTTCTGTCTTGGTTTTATCATCCGTAAAATGGGGCTAATAATACCTATTATACAGGCATTTTATGAGGATTAAATGAAGTAACATATATGTTTATGTTAGTATATTACTACATAGTGCTCAATAAGCACGAGCTATTTTCCCTCCCAAATTCATTTATTGGAATCTATATTCCAAAAGACCAAAAATTATCATTTGAAGACTTTTAATCCCAATTCAAAATGTAACCCCCTCAAAACCAACGTGTACAAAATGAATTTCCTGGTTTACAAATTTGATATTGGCGATCCACACTCTGGCATGTACTCTGGATGAGAAGATGGACTATATCCTGTCAAGGAGTAACCTGATCACTTAGACCAGGTGCAAGCTACCTTCTTCTTTAAAGGACCAGAGAGTAAATATTTTAGGCTTTTCTGGCCACACCATCTCAACTCTGCTGTTACATCATGACAGCAGCCATAGACAACACACAAACGTGGAGAGTGACTGATTGAAATAAAACTTTATGGACATTGAAATTTTAATTTCATATAATTTTCTCATGTCATGAAATATTATTCTTCTTTTAATTTTTTTTCAATCACTTAAAGACGTTAAAACCATTCTCAGCTCATGATCATCGCAAAAACAGGTGACAAGCTGGATTTGGCCTGTGAGCTGCAGTTGATTCCCTGATCTAGATTCTCACTTTTTTTAGGATGATACACGAAGAGGGAGCAAGAGGCTCACAGCCCATAGTAACAGACTATTTCTTCAACGCCACTGGCAAGGATTAAAAAAAGCATTCGGAAGGATGCATATCCACTCCTCTTGGAGAAGGTAGATGGAAGACTGGACAGACAGATGTACCTGGAGGAAGATCCTACTAAAGCCCTGGTCCTTTTACTCTCCATCGTATCACCACGCTCAGTTTCTTCAAAGCGCTTATAACAATCAGTTCTTGTTTATTTGTTTACTTGTGTGGTGGGTAAAATTTTTTAAATACTATTTCAAGTGTGCTTTTTCCTCCTGAAAATTTTCCCCTTTCTGTCTTTGCTCCGCCTCAACTCTCTCAATTCTAGCAGCCGCTTTATTGCATTGCCTCCAGGAGAGATGAGACAAGATGAGAAGTAGAAATAGCCAGAGTGTCTTGCTGG